GTTTGAAGCATATCTAAGATCATCGTCATCATCATCATCATCATCATCAAAGGAATTCGTTTCATTATTGTATGCATTCCAATGTTCTAACAATAAAATAAAGATCACCTCAAAAGAATGAAAACCTTTTTGTCGATTATCGGAAATCGGCCGCTGAGGGGCGGTCATAAGGGGCGGTGGTGGGTGAGGTTGATGAGTTCTATGTTTTTATTCATCGGCAGTACTTTACATATTTACAACTCACATTCTCGCTCTCTCGTCTTATACAAGGTGGGAAGATCCTGGTGTCGGAAGTGAAGCAAGCTTTAATACGAATGTTAAGTGGTGCGAAGCTTGGGCTGGTGATCAAAGTGGATGATCGCTGATGTGTGACCCCAGCTTGGCGAATCAAGTCATCTGAGCTCAATGTAGTCGGCCAAGACTGGCCAAGCGCTCCCGGAGTGAAGTCAGATGAAAAGCAACATCTATACAACCCCACGTCTTGGCTCTGGTGCTCGGAGTGCACTTGAGATGTAAATTGGTAAAATCACGTAGAGGCGCTTCCCGGGCTGAAAGAGCTAACAGGATGGTCCCCGCGGATTCGTTTGTCCCTTTATGTAGCTGATCAAAGAATCAATTCATCAAGCCAACCATCACCTTGTTTTTAGCTGGGCTCTGATCTGCTCTACATCAAACTACACAGTGCATACATTCAAATCCATCCACAAGCTGGTCTGGACTCTGGACTCACACACACACTCTAAAAAAACCTCAAAGCAATGACATGTATTGCAATTCCCCTACAAGCTGGGAGCCACACTCCATAGATGACAACAGCTGCTCTATCTTTTTCTTGGCCACCTACAACCATAGATCATGAGGTAAGATTACGGAACATGTGAAAAGTGAAAGCTGTCCTGCACAAGCTGTGAACATGGGTAGGACCCAGGAAACCACCTAGAAATGTCCATAACATAAATCCCTGGATTTTCTGCGCTGAATTGCTGGGGAGTCCTGACATTTTGAGGGTGATCTTAC